ATTTGGTTGCTGATTGTGTGACGTTATTGGCGATTTGGACGGAGAAATTGTTAGTTTTATTTTGACCGCTTAATGTTAAGCGAGATTGGGGACTCGAGGATTTACGGAGGACTATTGGAATTTAGCGATTTGAACACTAGAACTACCGTACCAGTCGAAATGGTTTCGATCTTTTTTTTCGTAATTATTGATATCTTGAAACCATTGAATGTCCGAAATGAAAACAAATAGTTTCAGTTGGTTACTATGATAATGTCTGAAGAAATTGCAAATCTATCGTTACAATTTTTATATTGATTACATATTAATCGTATTAAATGCGCGGTAGTTTTAGTGTTAAATTCAAGAGTAGAATTTGTTGCTTCTGTATAAAATTTAGGAAAGTTTGAGTGGTAATTTTATATTGACGATCAAATGGAAATATAGTTTGATTTGAAATTGGTACATAATGTTGCACAAAGAAATTTGCATTAAAGGGTTAGGCAGAAATTTCATTTGAAGATAATAGATTGATAATAGGAAAATAGTTTTTTGCTTTGATGCGTGGGAAGAATGAGCAACATTGATTTTTGGTTAATTAATCTGGAAATGTTCGTCGCGAGTCTCGCTGATCATTGTATGGCAAGGGGTTAAGTTTTTTTTAATTTGTCAAAAATACGAAGGTTAGCTCGTGAGTGTCTGGGTTTCAGGGAAGATTTATTTTGGGGTGTCTTTGGGGCTAGTCATTGAATTGTTGATATCGTTTGAAGATATATATTAAGCTTGCTGATTTATTTTCGTCCCATCCGTGTCAAATTTAATAATGGAAATGATCTTTTATCGCGAGTCTATGTTTGTATCTTTTTTATTTTACATTTACCGAATCTTATGAGTCAAATAACAAATTCCTACAATCGACTTCGCGTCGTATCCGATCGCATTCGTCGCGTACTTTAATTCCCGCAATCGGAAGTGTCGCGATTTGGTTAGCTAGGATACCGGTTGCGTAATTTCGTAACGCACAATGCTGGCATAATTCTCGAAACGGTTTCCATAACGGTCGACCGGCAGTTAAGTGTGCCGATCAGTTCTCTTTCGTTACGCCCGTGAAAAATTCAACCGCAGACCAAGCGTAGAATAGACTCGAAGAGAATTTTCCACGTTTATTGAAATACAAATTTTTCTAAAGAACCCGTGGCCTCGTTACATTCTCTACGACCTCGAACGCTAATACCGTACACCGATCTTAACACCAGAACTACCAAAGGTCAAAATCATCCATTCTTGATTACTTTAACACCAGAACAGTTGAACTGCTTTTTAAACATTCTTTTATAGAAACTATAGAAGTGTGGATTAAGATGTCAGTTAGATTATATTTTAATTTGTATATTAATAAATCAATGATTTCAATCATTTCTGGAAGAAGCATTTATATGCTTTCAATTATTATGGAAGAATAAATATGGAATGTGTCATTTTGAGCCATCTGGTAGTTCTAGTGTTAACAATGATTGAAAACAACAGATAATTCTCTGACACAATTACAGAAATTGATTCAACAATAGGCAAACTGAATTGTAAATTAAAAGAAATCTCAATAATAGTATTGTTGGAATTTTCACAGAAAAATTTCAAGAAGTTAATTTCACTGTTCGGTAGTTCTAGTGTTAACCCTTTGCACTCGACAATATTTTTCATTGCAAACATTATTTTCTGACGAAATATTTAACAATATTATTTGCAATTTACATAAAGAAACACCTTGCATAAATTATGGGGCAGAATTGTTTTATTCCTGTTTCATGTGTTCATAGCTCATTCAACACTGTATATTGAGTTTTTCATTTTATAATTTTACTGCGTTCAAGCAAACTGACTGAGAGTCGCCTCTCGAGTGCACAGGGTTAACCCTTTACGATTGGCAGATTTTTCTGGTGACAGTAGCAACTAGTCGAAGCAAATATATATATTCTCAAAGTTATTTTTTCATAGATAAATAATAAATATATAGATATTCTAAATTTGTTCAATATGTTTTTTAGAATATAAATTCTGCAAAGAATAAAAAATACAATACCTCTCACTCTAACCCTTTAACCGTTAACCCTTTGCACTCGAGAGGCGCCTTTCAGTCGGCACTCGATTCGACCCAACAAAATGATAAAATTTAAAGTTCAATATTAAATTTTATATAGTGCTTCAACACATGAAACGTCGAAATAAAATAGTTCTGTCACTTACTTTATGCAAGGTATTCCTTTATGTCAGTTGTGAAAAGTATCATTGATATTTCATCAGAAAATAATGAATATTTCTTGAGAAAAATATTCTCGAGTGCAAAGGGTTAAGCACAATTAAAATCTCTCTATCTCTTTCAACACACGTATAACCTTAAAACTCGATAAGAACACTATTATTACTTCCCTTAAAACTCGAATCTCTCATTACACCTAATTCATATTCCCACTGACAGTCTCGTCTCTATTCCGATTCGAGACTGGTAAAAAATCGATTGCCAATAATTTGACAGAAAGATATATTCGACGACAGTCTATTCTACGCGTTGAGTCCGCGGTAGGAACGGGAGCCTCGTGAGCGCCGCGAAAGTGTTTTGCAGAGCGACGCGTTCGGCCTGGCAAGTGTGTATTTAATTTTCAATGTAACCAGCAGGTCGAGGAGAGTCGACCGTTCTAATCAACGATAATAAACGGTCGGCAGGGGTGCTCTCCTTGCGATGCGCACGTTCGACGTAGGACGTGAACGTTTCGTCGCGGCGCATCGTTTCCTTTCCTCGTCAGGCCACACGGATAGGAAACTCTGTCTCGTGTTTCGTTCTCTCGGCCCGGCTCGGTCGGTACTCGTCGGAGTGTCGTTTCGTCACCGGAAACGCGCGCGAATATTGCTGACCGTTGAAAATTTGACCGGTGTCCCCCCTGTGTTCACGCGACACATAGACGACGGCACGTTTGCACGAGGAAAAAGGCAGGCGTCAGCTTCGCTCCGCGCGCGCGGCTACTGCCCACGTTCGTGAAAGCGTGTTTCGTACACACGGAACACACACGATCGCACGTTGTAAATAGAATGGAGGATACACAACGCCGAGATACGGTGTCCACGAATTGCCACGATGAATGTACCGCGAAAAATTGTTTCCTGCGTGCCGTTGTGTTTCGGTTGACGTCCGTAAGTGTAATATGGAAATCTCGAATTTTCGTACGAACTCATTGCTGCATGGTACACACGTATAGAACGTGTAGCACGCGACCTTGGAGACTACCGAGATCAATAATAATCTTGTAGCGTTCGTTACTGGTGAATATGATTTTTCTCTTGCCGCGAATGCTTGTTTATTCTTTTTTTTCTGTACCATCATCGTACTATCTATTTTCTCTGTCGTTTGCGTACGATATTTCTACGTTTCATCAGTTATCTTGTTCAGCATGCGTTGTACATGATATACAGTGAGTAACTTTAATATTCGGACATTGAGAGTTTTACTTTGTTACGTCGTAACTTCGCTTGTGACAAACGAAAAGTGCAGTCAACTATTTTGTTAAGGTATTTCTAGTAAATAATAGTGTGTTTTATTTACACGACTTACAACGGTTGTTAACCCTTTGCACTCGAGAATATTTATTTCAACAAATATTCATGGCTGTCACACTGTCCGATTTTCACGTTACTTTGACCTTTCGCAGTAGAGAGGTCACTTACTTGGTTTCATACATTAAAACTATAAAATTTGATATTTAATATTATACCTTATATAACCCACCAATTTCAAAAATATTGATATAAAATAGCTTTGTTCCTCAATGTACGTATAATTTCTCTAGTCTCACAAAATATCTTCTATCTCATCAGAAAATCTTCAAATATTTCTAGCGATAAACTCCCGAGTGCAAAGGGTTAACACATTGCGTACCGCTAACAAGAAATCTCGTTTTTATATAAAGACACTTAGCTATGCAACTTCGCTAATTACCACAGCATTAAAAAAATATAAAATTTAATTCGGATTCATTATCTATTTAAAATATATTACATAACGATATGATATCTGAGTTTTTCTATGTATAGTGGTGTAAGTTGACCTCAGTGAAAATTTCCAGCCGCACAATTCAGTTTTCTGAAAATTAGCCGGTACGCAATGTGTTAATATCCGGATATTTTGTAGAGTAGCACTTTTTTACTTCGAGTTACTTCGAGTTACTAACGTTACTCACTGTATATACGAGTATAGCAGTTTGGATGAGTATATACACGTTCAGCCTTCTACGTCTGGTATTCTTGTTATGTACATCATTGTTCTGTGCTCAAACCTCCTTACAGAGGGGCCCGAACGTGTCGAACACAGGTCGGATAGTTGATCGGATAGGGACGTTGTAATAGATTTGTTGATTATTATATCGTGAATGATTCATATAAACAGCAATGGGGCCCCGGCCACATTTGTTCAGCTGCGCGTCGCTAGAAATAATATTACGTCTTGCTGTGTCGCGAGCGCGCAGTGTATCTAGCGCGACAGAACGTTTTATCTCGCGCGGCGTTCGGATTAGTAACGAGTTCGGGATAAGAGAGCAGGAGTCTCGTCGCCATGATAATTGTACCGTATCGGAGGGCGTATAGGTGTGTTTATTTCTAACACTTTGACCGGTGTCGTCAACCGTTAGATCTGGTACCATTTTTTTTTTCGAACGGATCGATTGAAGACTAACTTAACACTAGAACTACCAGAGGTCGAAATGATACATTCAGTTGTTTAATAGATAACAGATGCATCTCTGAAAAAGTACTAGAGAAACTGGTTTAGCAATACACAAACTGAATTGCAGACCAACAATTGCAGAATTGAAGTCTAAATAATGGCACTGTTGAGGCTCAGAACAATTTCACTGACTTTTGAAAGTTCCGTTATAAAAACTATAAACGTGGATTTATTAAGGTTTGAATTAGTTCAAATTTCTGCTTAGGTATTACTTAATTATCTTCTTTAGTAATTTCTAAATAGGTATTGTTACGTCTTCAGTAATCGCGAAAGAAAGCCAAAGAATGGGCCATTTTGACCTATTTGGTAGTTCCAGTGTTAAATCGACTTCCGGGGAAGACGGTTTTTTACTTTTGTTTTTTTTTAAATTTCCCGCATATCTTCGTCGTGGTAAAAGTTTTCAAAATGACCATCGTTGAAATGCTCGATCGTGTAAAGGTACGAAACGTATTTTCATAGAATCGATATACCTGGAATTAACTTGGATTTATTTTAAGATTTCCATTGAAATTCTAAGTTGATTGCGCTGATTGTTACTACCCGCGATAAAAATGATTAGCTCAGTCAACGTCTATCACAGTAAATTGTCAGCTTAATATTCTATTTATTTACGGAACACTATTTAGCTCTGTTCCATTCGGGGTTCAACTATTTTTTCCGAGTCATTTTTATATCGGATAATCGACTTTTCAATTGTACGTTTCACACTGAACTATTTTTAACATGTTCAGTGCCACGTGTACCATATATGGTACACGCGAATGTCTAAGAAAATATTTTCAAGGGTCACGTGGATGGTTATGCGTTACAAAGCAGCGAGAACATGAAAGAGTATCAAAATATATAAAACTGACCAAAAACTTGAATATATCTTAATATTTTATTTAAAAAATCAATACAGTTCAAACGTGTTAACACTAGAACTACGAGCAGTTAAATCGGCATTTCGAAAATTGTCTATAGAAACTCTAAAAATGCTACTGAAATTTCAATTGACTGATTCAGTTTGAGTATTACTAACTCAATTGCTTCATGTTATGTTTTCGACACGTTGAGTTCCATGGGGTCACCGACCCAACCAAATCGAACTACCATAATTCATTCGATTAAACGATGATTATTACAAAACTTTTCTATATTACAAGTAACTGCCTAATGCAGCGCCATTCAACAAGATAAACCTGCAATAATAATGCAATTCGATTACGTAATTTGATATTCCATTTTCATTTTGTATATTTTTCTTGTAAACGGGTCCATTTGACGCATCTGGTAGTTCTAGTGTTAACCCTTTGCACTCGAAAGTCTTTCGCTTGAAGTATTCTATACTTTCTAATTAGATGTAGACAAGATTCTTTAAAATGGATTTAACAATAAATCATATATAAATTAGGTACCAAAGCTATTTTCTTTCAATATTTCACGTATTGACGCAGTATACAAAGGTTAATGGTAAATACCAAAGTGTATAATTTTGCTGTATCAAGTCGTCTGGCGACTGGGAGTCGCCTCTCGAGTGCAAAGGGTTAATGATCATTGAAGACTTTTACCGTAACGTCGATGGAGAATCGTCTAGTACTGTAGTTAACAATATTACCTTTTTGTACACGTTTAGGGACTGTCCCGGGGTTGGCACGTCTTCCGGACCGAACGGTAAGGAAGTCTCGTATCACGGGAACGTAGGCGGATCCAGCGTGGGGTATAAACCACCCCCGCAGCACAGTCCGCAATCGAGAGGTCCACCGGCCCATTTCGCACAGGAGTCCGTGGGACCACCGGCCAATTCTCCCCCATTGCATATCAACATCTGCGGCCAGGTAAGGATTTTTCTGGATGCGTATGAAACACGAGTTTCACTGTTCAATGTTAAAAAGAATTTATGTACATTTACAGGACAACACGATGCGTGATCCATTATTAAGTCCAGGTCTTGGACCTAGCGGCGTCGATGTGGAGTACCGTAGGAGTTCCCAAGGTATATAACGGAGTTTCGAAACAGCCTCTATCGATCTTCTCCGTCCGTGCGTGCTTCTTCGTTGCGATTCTTCTTTAACACTATTTCTACCGAAGGTGTCAGGACACCTTTTGAAATTTCAACTTGAAATTATTTTCTCAGTCGAATAATTTGTCCTTCGTTGAATTTTAGACATTCCCTATAGTCAGTTTTATAAGCGTTATTGGAAAAGTGGAAAAGTCAGTTCAGAATATGCGGCCGAGTTTGGAAAGTAATTTTAAGTTAAAATTTCAGAAGGTGTTTTGAGACCTTCGGTAGAGATAGTGTTAATACTAAAACTACCGAGCAATCGAGTTATTCCCTAACTTTGTATAGAAACATTGAAAGTGCAACTATTGAGATTTTGAGTAATTCATAATTGTTTGCCTATTACGAGAACGATTTCTTCAGTGATTCCTCAAAGAATAATTTATCATTTGAATATTTGAAAAAGAAATGGGTCATTTTGATCTGCCTGGTAGTTCTAGTGTTAACAAGCGACACCGTGTTTCAGCTACCAATCAGCTACCTATGAGCCCGGTACATATTCAGCCGTCGCCGCCATATTATAGGCAGCCTAGTCAAGACGATGGCAGAAAGGTAAAGCGTCGTTTGTTTTAATAGAATATAGCTGGTCTATATATACTCTGGTATATGTTTAATAAGAAAGAGGTCATTGGTATCATTTCAGAGCGAGTCTCCATCCAGAAAGCGGCGTCGGATATCTCGCAACGGCGTCGTTTCCGGGATAGAAGTCCGTGAATCAACGCCTCCGCCCACACCCCCGCTGCACACCACCCTACCATCGTTAACTTCCTTACCTCCCATACCGTCCCTGCCGACTCCGCCGCCATGGGAATTCTCTCCAGCGCCTCAGCGACGATCGCCACGGAATCATATGTCGACCCGTGGCAGCCCTACCATCAGGAATCGTTACCAACGATACACAGACTCTATCGGGCTGTCCCATCCGTTACTGCCCGGACACAATCCCCATCTAGCCATTCACAACTCTCATCACGGGATCCATAGTTCCCATCACAACATTCACAACTCGCCTCATAATCTACATACCTCCCACTATAATATGCATAACGCGCATCAGACACATCCCCATCATCCGGCCGGCGCGGGACACCATCCAGCGCAGGGGGCGAACGACCCTGTGGTGGTCGACGTAGGCCAAGTCGGTGTAACCGGCTTAGGGGTTTCCGTTAGCGGCGAACCCCTCTGGCATCCTCAAGCGACAGGTTACAGAATTCCTTGCCAGCTGCACGGCATATACACTCCTAACGGAGCACACGCGTTTGCGCACTCGTGCCAGGTAAGTGTCCCTGTGCTAGGGTTGGTCGCGTGAACCGTTACGAGTCGATATTCCTTGAATGCATTGGGATCGACAGTTGTTTAGATAGTATGCCCACTGAGAAGATCTGTAATATCAGTATCTTGAACCTGAATATTTAGTTTTTGATGGTATCGAATTCCATATTGGGTCAGGAAATATTAATTCGTAACACTTTGCGACCCGTTCTTGCGATGCTGAAGGAATATATCTGTTGAGTTAGTTTCATTTGCAATACGTCAATATGTTTGAATATTCTTCAGGTCACCCATCATCATGGCCACTATTCAGCGCCCCATCCAAACCATTCAGCCCACAGCCTGGTCGGTACGATAGTTGGAGCAACATCCAGAGGCTATCCAACGCCGGCCGGAGGTCCTGTCGCAGCCCTCCATCACGCTCACGTGCCTCCAGCACCCATTCACACTGCTCATTATACCACGCATCATCAGCTCTCACAACAGGTAACGTGAAATTCTTTAATGGCCATTGTGTTTCATCGGGTCGGTGAATTAAAAGTACCCACCTTCCGTAGCTTTTAATCTGGAAAACGTCTTATCAGTATATCTTTGTGTTAACTGTAACTTCGAACCAAAGGCTTTCTGCTAACGATACTCCCAACGACTAAACACCGACCCAATTACTTCACAGAGTATAGCATGTATTTATGTATTTCTTCTTTGTTCGTTACAGCGGGAGGTTGAATTAGAGTTAATAGAATCCCATCGTCCTCATCGGGTCGGAGCCACCGCGGATGCACCATTACCATTATCGCATTCGTATTCGCCGCCAGCACTCACTCAAGTCACGACGCCTCCACCCACGTTCTTTTCGGAACTCAGCCAGAATCAATTGGAAGTGATTCGGACCATAACCATGGGCACAGATCGGTCAGTTCAAACACTTAGACGTCTAAGACCAAGCAGATGGAGAGGGTTAGGGCCGGCCTACCGGGGATTCTTGCTGCAGTTCTTGTGAGTGTCTCCCCGGTCGATACTCAGTGTATCGTGGTCAAATGCCGTTACTGATGTTGCTCAGTGATATTTTACGATTTCTAGGGCGATGTTCAGAAACCCGCCGTTGTCTCCGTACAGCCAGGCGGAGCTGTCCTCACCGGACTCAGCAACCGAGAATTACGAGGCCCTGCTGTCCTTGGCGGAAAGGTTAGGCGAGGCGAAACCTCGAGGACTAACGCGGGCCGAAGTCGAACAACTGCCCTCCTACAAGTTCAACGCGGAAACGCACCAAGGAGACCAGACAAACTGCGTGGTATGCATGTGCGACTTCGAGGCCATGCAATCACTGCGCGTTCTGCCGTGCTCGCACGAGTTCCACTCAAAGTGCATCGACAAATGGCTCAAAGTAAGTGGCTGCTTATATTCTACTTATGGAATATCAATTACTATATCTTGGATAATTTACGTAGCTCTTTGTATTTTTGGAATCTACAAAATAAATGTCCCGTCAGAATCATTAGCCTGCGTATTTTATACGTTTATGGTATCCATAAATATAGTATCTTTATATGAAGACGGCTCGTATAGATTTAAATCAATTGCGAATAACCTCGGACTATCTGCTATAGAAACTCTCTGTCGACCTCTCTAACTGGTGGATCTTGTTTGCTTGCTTGTTACAGTCGAACCGAACCTGTCCAATATGCCGTGGCGATGCCGGCGAGTATTTCGGCAACAGTGGGACCGGTAGCGACTGACGCCAGCCTGCTCAAGTGCACTAGCGCCAGCTGTCACGAGTCTCAGGGACGCTACACCGCACAGAGCAGCCAGCGTACACTTTGCTGGTTTGTGCAAATTTCTGTTGATAACGCATTTGCGCGCCTTTTCTCTTAGCCGAGCTGGCCCGACGCGTAGATAGCGAG